CACCACATTAGTCTGGCATCAGTGAGTTTCTGCACGCAGAAGCAATGAGATTACAAAGGAACAACTACGCATCTGGTATCAAGACTCAGTTAAGTTCACGCCATGGTTTGTTACCCTAGTTATTCTAAACTAACGGCACAAGAGCTGAACATAGCAGAACGTTAACTCTTTTAGAAGTTATCTACTTCCCTAAGTTGCTCCAGTTATTGCTTGGTGCTTTGCAAACCTGTGCTGGATGGACAGGCTTTAGAAATAGGCCAGCCAAGCTGGCTTGTTCCTACCCAGCCCAATGCAGTACACACTAACACTTGGGGCAAGTTCTGCTTTCAGCTATCACTTCCCCAGGGGATAACCACACAGTTCTTCATTAGATTCAGCAGCATAAGTTCACAACACGCTGTTTTGTCCAACTATATCAGCCACAACCAAAATTTCAAGAGTTTTTTTTTTGTTGTAGGGATTTCATGCAACTCTCCCTTCTGGGCATATACTCACCAGATACCCCTGGCATCAGGCCAATCTCGCGCCATCCCAGATGCCAACAGAAGAGGAGAAACAGGTTTGTCAAACAAGAAGTGATCATCAATCAGCTGCTGCTGCTCTGCATCGGTCATGTTCCTCAGAGCATAGTACTTCCCCTTGAGATCACCTCCCAGGCTGCCCAGAGCTGAAAGACAGGCACTCTTAGGATGGGAGCAGAGATTGCATTCAAACTATCTGCTTTTGTTAGTTCCTCCCTTGTTTCATCTGTAATGGCAATGACTTTGCATGGCATTACAGAACTTAAGGCTGTATCAGTTGATTTGTGTGCACCTTCCAGGCAGAAACAAGCAGTCTTTGTTCCCTTACATAAAGTATGGGATCGTTACTGCTGCTTAACTGTAGTAGTGAAGTGCTTTCTCCCAAGGAGAATCAAGGTCACAAATACAACAAGCAGCATTCTCATCAAGGACTGTTACCCTGCCCTTGAGAAGTTTTGGAACAGTGACAGGATAGCACCTTGAGAAAGTATCCTTTCCCCTGGCTTAAAGTAAGTGGGAGGCAACAGAAAGAACTGCAGCTGAGGAGTTCCACTGAGAACTAGAGCTCACTCGGAGCTGGACTACACCTCTAAGCAAGCTGAATGTTAATGAAAGTCAATTAAAAGAAGCCACAAAATACTGCAACCATGACTCAAGCCCTAGGGTTGCTCCATACCTATTACTTCTCAGATTTGAGCTGTGATGAACCAACCTCTTCCCCCACACACAGAAAGAAGCTTTCAAGATCAGCAAAGGTCAACTTAATACAGCCCAACTTCCCTGACGTGCGCTCCTGCTCTGAGCTACAAACTGCAACACTGATGCAACCATAATCCAAGCTGCCTTTTTCAGGGAAGGTTCCACATTCAAGTTAAGCCTTGAGGAAAGCAGCTTCTGCCAAACACCTCCATTCTCCAACTGCACAGAGCGCCTCTTTGCCTAGACAAGGTCAGTTTCCCTTCATTGCCTGATTCAACACTTTACCTTCAACAGAGAGCTTTTCAATAGCCCGTCTCTCTCCCCTGCTGCAATGAGGGGGAAGGCAGAATCCACGGATGCTCCTGCCAGTTCTCACACGAGAGCTCAGCACATAATTAGGATCCAAGTCATCACCACCCTACAAGATCAGAAAATTAGTCAGTACTGCCTTGTTGCAAAGATGCTTACCCTAAATACACACAGGTTCTGTGCACTTCTATTTGACACTGACTAGTTGTGCTGTAATATATGATGCAGTTTAGGACCATTTTTTCCAACTTTCCAACAAGCTGGGAGTAACAAACTCCCTGTTTTGAGGTTAAGACTAGGGCTTTTAAGTATGTGCTAGAAGACAAGAGTACCATCAGTTTTACACCCATCTCAGACCCAGATCTCAGCTTCTGTTACTCCTCTCACTTGCAATCTAGAGGTATTAACATGACAAATCCTTGTTTAGGTAGGTGCTTACTCCTGAAAATGAGAATTATTATTGTCAAAGCATTTTAATTTTTGAGATGTCCTATGGCTGCCAACCAAGATAGCAGCTGGAATTCCCAGAGACTGTAATAACATTTGAAATCTGCATGATGGTTAGAAGCTTCTACTTCCAGCCGTAACGATGGCTGTTCTATAACATGAGACCACTGGCTGATTTTTAGCCTACATCATCATACAGTAGAAAGAGTTGATGTTTCTAACAGCCCTGGGACTGGGTTGTTTCACAACTAGCACAGCCCAAAGAAATACATGCTCAACGTGTTTGGCATGACTTACATTGCAGAGCACATGAAGCAAGTCCTGCTTGTCAGCTGCCTGGTTCTACCCAGTTACTAACAACCTACTGCAGCAGGCTCTTGAGTAAGACTGCACTGGGCACAGTGCCTGTCAGCCTATGCACAGCGAAAGAGAGAGGCCTAAACAGATTGCTCAGGCTCTGTCAATTGCTCACAGCTTTCCCCAGGCCTCAGATCAGTGGGTATCAGTAACTGAACAAAAATGTATACCTGCAGGTTATCAGCATTCAGGTCGGTCTTGTGCTGATCAGTTGGTTTGTAGCCACCATGCCTGTCCTCAATAACTGGATCAAAGAGTTCCTTAAACACTTCATAAGATTCCTCATCGCCAGCTACACATCCTACTGTCATTATGAAGGGGTGGCCTGGAGTGGTAACAAAGGCAGAAGAGCTTAGTTGGGTGATGCTCAGCCATACTTCAAGCACAGCATTAACCAGGCAAGTTTCTTCACAGCAGATCTAGTCACTTAGAAATGCACTCACTTAATAGCAGTGGGAGACCCTACACTTCACATTTCATCCAGTTAGTCAAATGCAGTGCTATGGGAAACCATAGCAGTTGCCATTAAGCCACACTCTCGTCAAGCTTTGGTTTAGGGCAATTTTGCACAGCACATCCAATTTTACTAGCTAATGCAAACCCATAGATAGAACTACACTTAAAACAACCATGCTTTGCTGTGAGCAAGCATGCATCGCTTTGTTCGCTCTGCTGCAGACAGAACTGCATTTTCCTAGTTGGCTCATAAATACCACCTCCACGAGCTTAGCTTAAGTCACCATACTGAAAAGCACCGGTTACTTCAGCTGGCTCCCACAGAATATCTCAGCGCATTTTACCGGGATTATCAACCCCAGTCTGAATGACATCATCCAGGGTGAAGCCACTGGGCGTGACTCTGTCTCTCAGTTTCTTGTACAAATCCAGGGTTAGCACTTTGGCCATGTGGTTGTTGTGGGTGCTCAGGTCCGGGTACTCCTCATCGGGAGGCAGCCTCTGATTATTTAGTTGGGCCATTTTGATATTGCTAGAGTAAAAATAAATACTGTAATGTTAACACATATATGCATCTGTTCCCCCTTGTTTTCATAGAAGTGCTACAGAACATCACAGAACCACTTTGGAATAGGACGAGCTTAGAACAGCCGGGTAAGCCCACACAGCTCAGAGAATTTTTTCCCCCCTGGTTGCATAAAAATTAGAACACATTTGAGCATTTGCTTTTTTTTTTTTTTTTTTTTTAGTTCAGATTTGAAGTATTTAGCAGAGCAGTTACATAATAGGAACGCCTGGGAATTGCTGTGTCAGATTGCAGCGAGGAGCAGGGCTCGGCAAATCGTGGCCTCCTCAGCACAGCCGTCCCTGGCTGCGTGCAGGGCTTGCTGTCAAGGAGCACTTCCAGGAAGGAGGGGGAGCAGACCGCCCTGCAGTCCTAAGGGTGCAGCCGTTACCTGGGTTGTCAACCCCGGTCTGAATGACATCATCCAGCGTAAATCCACTGGGAGTCTGCCTATCCCTCAACTTCTTGTACAGGTCCAGGGTCAGCACCTTGGCCATGTGATTGTTGTGCGCGCTCAGGTCAGGGAACTCATCGTCAGCGGAGTGCTTCATCTTCAGGAGGTTGTGGCTGTTTGAGAAGGGCATGGCTGTCCCTACCGCAGTCACTGGGGGAAGAGAGGGAAGCCTATCACCAGGGGAGGCCACCAGGCACCAACAAGGTCACCTTGGCTTTGCTTCCACCCCACGCAATCCACACCTTCGCTGCCACAACACCTTCCTCGACGCCAAGCAAGGAAGAAAAGGCAAAAAAAAAAAAAACCAAAAAAACTTCTTCTAGCTCCGCAAGCCTTGCCCCATCCTTCGGCACCCGGTCCGGACGCTCCGGGGCTCGGCCGGGACGCAGGGCGGCGACCAAAGCGGCGGGGCAGCCCCAGCCGGAGCAGCCGTTGGGGAGCGCCGCGCCCGGCGCCGGTACCGACAGCGCTAAGCTGGGGAGCGGGGCGAGAGGGCAGTGCTCACCGAGCCGTTACACAACGGACGGCTCCCTCGGGGGACGTGGCTGGGGCGAGCGTATGTAACTACCCTGCTAAATACCGGGGTAAGCTGCTTTCAGAGCGGGGCTCCGGCTCAAGCTGCGGCCGCACCCCGTACGCACCTGTCCCGCACCGCCCCATCCCGCTCCCCCCGACGCTTTCCCGGCCGGACCGGCTCCAACCCGCACCATTAAAAATACATTTTTTCTCATAAAAGTTAAACCGCTTCCTCCTTCTTTTCTTTAAGCTGGAGACGACTCGGCTGCCCCGGGACTTACCGAGGGCTCCGCAGTCAATGCAAGGACCTCAGCGCCCGCTCCGCACCCACCCGCTGCCCAAGCCGGAGTGGAGCCCCGAGTCAACCGCCGCGCCCATTTTATATAGAGCGCGACCCACGGCCCCATTGGCTGCTATTTATAGCCCATTCATTCCATTGGTCGAGCCGCGAGGGGGCGGAGCCAGCGGCTCCTCCTGGCCGGTGAAGGCGTGCCGCCATTTTGCGAGGCGGTTGGGCGGCCGGTGGCGCTGGCCTCGTGGCCCGCCTGCCTCGGGCCCGGAGCGGTGAGCGTCGTGACCTCGTGAACGCAGACGTGCACGTACATCCGTTCCACCGGCAGCCTCAACATGGCGGCGCCGTTAGGCACCGAGGCGGGCGCACACGGCTTTTTGCTTTCACCCTTGCTCAGATTTGAACATAGGCTTATTGTGCAATGCACTGAAGGTCTCTTTTTGTCGTGTGCAAAGAAAGTACCTGAATTTTATTGAAGAAGGGCTGATTTTCCTGTGGGGACAGGAGCAGAAGGGCATCTGAGCTGTCCTATGCTCACATTCAGGCAGCGGTGACTGTTGCTGTGCAGGGCTCATCCAAAAACCTTATGCAGCCCAGAGTTCAGTTTTGGAGAAGTGAATGGCAACCTGGAGCTGCCCTTCACGTAACAGTCTCTTTATCTTTCTCTGTAGTGCATTTATCTCATACTTCATCCCCCACACCCGGACTGCGCATTTAATTGCTGTGTTAGAGTTGTGTCAGAGAGATAGAGGAATCGTCCCCACCGTGATTCTTCCAGCACCACAACCAGTGCCCTTAGCACCATGACACCAATGCAGCTTACAGAACTGTCCAGCTTTGGGAAAAAAATAAATGCACAGGAAACCATTACAAACTAAAAAGCTCAGACTGCCTCGAATAAAAATGCACTGTGTTTGGCTGCCATCCAGGCTTCCCAGTTATCCCAGGTACAGTGAGAGCAAACGAGCTGCAGAAGTCGGGCTGAGCGTCTGTGCAAGTCTGGTCTCTTATCTCCGGGATCAAAGAACAAATCCTCTCTAAGTCCCCTCTGCCTTTTTAACCTCACAAAATCTTCCCCTACATCTCACTAGTTCAACACAATGCTCGTTCTTCAGGACAGTGTCAACTACAGGTAAAGCCCTCCTATGCAAGTATTCAATGAACGTAAGCGTAAAAATCATTCCCAGAGTTGTCAAAATACATGTCATATTCATGGATGATCTGAGTTACAACACTTTTTCTTCTTTTTGCCAAGTTCTAGTTGTGTGGTTTTGTTTTTTTTCTTAATGTAAAACACTCGTCAGAGTTATTTTTAATGTAGAACAATACAAGAACAACACAAGTAATACTAAGAACATATTGTAACCTTACAAGCTTATTTTCTGGTGTTTTTCTTCACCCCAATAAAACCCATACTAAAGAGGTACTGAAGGCTCCGTCTGTCTCGTTCCATAATCTACTGCCACGCACACAAGAAGCAACTGTCACTTACTTGTGTTATACATTTGTGGAATCAAGGTTACCTCAATAACTCACTTCTTTGCACTGGAGACACTCTCCCTCCCCATCCTGCCGAACAGGGAACACCAGTTGTTACAGTTATTAAGAGTCGGTTGTGTTCTCAATGTGCCATTCATTATCACACTTCCAACACAGACACCTCTCCTTCACACAGCTTTTGTCTGAAAGAAGACACAGACAGAGCAGAGCCATGGTGGGACACCATCAAAATATACCTAGCAAACATGTTAAACGAACACTGCACCTCACGTCCTTTTCCTCACCGTTATTTGACAAATTTATAATACACACTTAGCTTGTATTTTGAGATCTGCTGAAAGCTGTGTGCAAACTGGATCCTACCTCTGTTACGGTATCCCATCCCTGCTTCCCTAGTGGCTTAATTATAGATGCAGTACTGTGTGTCAACAGCCTCTGATCAACTGCTTTATCTAGCTCATCTGCTGAGAGAATACTTTCCTTGGATCAGCCTGTATTGCCTGTTAGACTGTGATAAAGGCATCAACATGTCCTTTCCATGGGACGATATTGTAGTGCACACTGACGTGTAAACTATGATGCAGTTTGGCATTTTAGGCTGGAAAGGTGGGGTGATTACTCCAGAGATCTGCGTGCTGAGCTTCAACAATGAAGAATGAAGGGAAGTTAATCATGGGCCGTGCAGTGAACACTTCCTAAGAGGCTTAATCATAAATGTTGTGCAGTGTACAACTGCAAGGAGATGTGTGTTAGCTAGGGAATGTGTCTTCTGAAATTGCTCACGTGATAGCAAGATGAACCTGAAGAATTCAGGGGAAACATACTGAAAATCTAGAAGGATATTTCCAAATCAGGAAATAGCAAAAGAAAACATTTTACTACGTGTAACTGCCTTGTTTCCAATGCCTTACTTACTGAGTAAAAAGCACTTGAAAATGAAACATAACATTCGTGCATCAACAGGTGAACTGGTTGTACCTGCATCTGCTTAAATTCCCAAATATTTTCTTCCCATTTATTGCTTTCTGTGTATCTGCCTTGTTATTATCCCTTTTCACATTGGTTGAGCGTCCTGTTGAAAATTGCTTCAATTCCTAGTTGAAGACTGGGAGCTGTTTGGTCTTGTATACAGTCAGGCTCACAGTGATCTGAACAGCAGTTTTTTAAGGGAAAGAAAGGACACAAGAATATAAACTACGGCAAATGACGTGAAAAAATGACACATAAAAAAAAACAAGGTAGGTGCAGATATAAAGGCAGAATAGAGCTGTGATTGCCAGTCAGAAAAACAGCTGAGTAGGAGTCTGCAGTTTAAGAAACCTCTGAAACTGCATACATTATGTTTAGATGAGATGGAGGAGAGTTTCATAACTAAATAACAAAGACTTCTGCAACTATGATACGGGCGGGTCAATAGCATAACATAAAAATGTTCTCACTGAAGATAATGGGCAAATTTTCCCTCACAGTTGATGAAATCACGTGGATAAAAAAGACTCACAAACGGTCATCTACACAGCTCTCAGCTAAGCATACGTTGATGGCGTTCTTGATTATGGAGGAATGACTTGTTCTCCACTCCTGTGCACCTCCAGCCACTGGTGAATGCAGCAGCAGAGGATTATCTGATTTAGACAGAACGTTACCTGAGTGTCCGAGGTGACTCAGATCTGCTCTGCCTGCGCCCTCCCATGCCAGGTGGCCTGGGCTTGTTGGAGCAGCAGATGAGGCGATATCCTCCTCCTGGGCATCTCCTGACTCCATCCCCGCGCCACCGGGGCACCTCCGGCTCTCCACATCACTGCAATCCTAAACACGAGACACAAGTAGGAGTTAGAGCCGTGCTATTTGGGGTTTCGATGATTCTGCTCCTTCTGAGCCCACACTCTGCTGTGGGTTTCTCCTCCAGCCTCCAGAAACCGGCACGAGGAGTTCGGTTGGCCTCGAGCTGCCTTTCCCCGGGCTCAGCAGGGGAAGTAGCTGGAACATTCTGGAAGCCGCCTGCATGGAGGCTCGGGTGGCAAAGGCACGGCCGTTCAGTGGGGAAGGGGCAGAAGTCAATCGCCCGCACTTGGCGAACGAGAGATCCTCCCCGGGCTCGTAGCTATCCGCGCCCTCGGAGGTGCTCGGAGGGAAGAAGCCGGGAAGGGCCGTCCAGCCTCCCAGCGCCCGTAGGGACCTCTCGTTGCACCAGGCAGGGACCGGCCGCACGCCCCTCGGCCACCACGCAGGAGCCACCGTGCGCGGGGCTCCCCACGCCCGGCCCCGCTGACGGACCGCGGCCAGGGCGGGCGGCGGAGGGCGAGGGAGCGGCGCCGGGAGCGCGGCCGGCCGAGCCGGGTACGGGCCACGGTGACCGGCCGCTACGGGCACGGCCGGCGGGGGCGGAGGCGGCGGAGCGTCGTCAGCATCCTGCGACCGGCTCGGGGAGGCGCGGGGCGGGCACCGCGTGTGAGGAGAGCCGTGCCGGGCCTGCTAGCGGTACTCGGCCGCGGGAGGTAACGGCCGTGGGGACGGGCAGAGCCGGCGCTGCTGGGGGACCGCGAGCCCCCCGCCCGCGGGGAGGCCCTGCGGGGCGGCGGCGCTGCGTAGAGCCGAGCGCGGCGCTTACCGCGCTGCGCTGCTGCGGGCCGAGCGGCCACCGCGTGTTATCTTTTGTTCGCAGTCGGCAACGCGCGGCCCTCAGGCGTTTGGCTGGGGACACTGTAGGAGAGGGGACACTGCAGGGCCGGGCGTGGGGGACGGTGAGTGCGGGGCTGGGTTCAAAGGAAGACGTGTAGATGAGGTGGAATCGGAGCTGCTTCCAAATGGTATTCCTCTAAATACGAGCTGAAAACAACAACTCGTGAATAGTGTTTATTACTGGAGAGTTAAGAACATCGGTATAATCCGATGGTGCAAGCTATAAAACTCATCACTGCCGTCTGACAGTGTCCGGTGTGTGTACATTTCTGAGCTGTGTTACCCTGTGTCCAGACATTCCTGGTGTGCTTTACTGTACGAGCACTGACACCGCATGCCTTACGCTTTGGAATCATGGCCTACCAGCATGTCTGCCTCTCATTCTCACTGTAGCAGCACTTTTATAAATCTAGCTGCTGAACAGCAGATTGAACTCAAATTTTGGTCAAGAAAAATAGACTACAATTTCAGAACTAAAAGGTTTTTGGTTTTAGTAAAAACAGAGAAGTAGGACAAAACTTGTACACATTCAGTATGAAAGCACTGGAATCAAATCATTAACAGGTTGCCCAGGGAGATGGTGGATGCCCTGTCCTAAGAAACAGCCGAAGTCAGGCTGGATGGGGCTCTGAGCACCTGCTGGAGTTGTGGGTGTCCCTGTTCAGTGCAGGGCAGTTGGTCTGGATGCCCTTTAAGGGTCTCTTCTAACTCAAACAATTCCATGATTCTATTTTTCTGTGAAAAGTAATGCTGCTTTTAATTTTCTTGTCCAGCTACCGGGAATCAAACTCCCAGAGCCCTCTGTCACAGACTTTAATCTCTTAACTTTGGGATCACCACATTACACAATTCTTTCCATGAATAGATCAGCCTGCAGCTTAGGTTGTTAGCTGCCTTATCTGAAAAGCAGCGCCAGGGTTTATTGTAAGCTGCCTTCTCATTTCGAGGTTTTCTTCTCCAAGACAACAACATTTAAGATTGTTGCTCTCAGAACATGGGGCTAAAACAATACAGTGTGTTTGCACTAGCTGGCAAGAGATTGTTTACGTTCAGCTGCAGCATGGATCACTTTCCAGACAATCACATTACACCCCCAATGGCAAATTAAAGGCCACAGTGTCTTTTCTTTGTACTTAGTCAAATTCATACCTAAATTAATGCGGATACTACCTTTATCTTATCTCTAAAGCTTCATTCGGGAAACTTTCAGGTAAACTTTTGCTAGTGGTCCTAATAATTGGTGATTGAGATCCAGGCAGGTCACAGTTGTCACATACTGTAAAATCACCAAGGGATAAGTCACCAGAAGAAAATAAAAGTCACTGCTTAACAACATATTCTGAGAGCTTGTGAACTGGAACCAAACAGATTGCTGAAATCAATACTGCCTTGCAAGTTTCCCAGTGGCATTAGGGAGCAGGCTGAGTAAATGCTAACAGATTCGCTAATTTTTGCTTGTAAATGTACCATACAGTGATACAAATAGTGGTTATGTTCAAGTCAGTGAGATCTTTTTGTTGATTTTAATTGGGTGAGGAGTGCATCGAGGGGAGGTCCCTGGGCTTCATGAGGGGTTCTCTTGCTAACATTTTACTTGCACGGTGTGTCTTTTTTTTTTTTTTTTCTTTTTTTTCTTTAATATTGGGGAAATAAAATAACTTGTCTGTACTAATAGCTTCATCGTGACACCATAACACTGTCTTGGCATTTGTCCCTTTCTAGGAGACGACCACCAGCCAACTGCAAGACTGTTGCAATGAGTTTTGTTGAATATGGCGATACAATCAAGGATGGTGACACAGCTATTGTGTTCTTGGGCCACGAATCCATGTTTCCTGTGAAAGTCCAGCAAGGCAGTGTAACTCAGACTAAATATGGGGTCATCCGGCATTCTACAGATCTCATAGGCAAGAAGTATGGCTCCAAAGTGACCTGCAGTAAAGGAGGATGGGTTTTTATTCTTCATCCAACTCCAGAACTGTGGACTGTGAATCTTCCACACAGGACACAGATCCTGTATTCCACTGACATCTCTGTAATCACCATGATGTTAGAACTGAAGCCAGGCTCCATAGTATGCGAATCAGGTAATAATAGTTTGAGATCTTTTATTAAGAACTAACACCAACACTTCCCATGGAAAACACACTTAGCTTTACATTTTGCAAAATCTCTCTTTTTTTCCGTTGTGATACAATTTTCCCAGCCCACACAAGGAGTAATTCTCTTTCATTTGCACATGCTATCAACTATTGCCTCTCCAACAAGCAACGCTGCTTCAGTATGCCAGCCTTTTGTACACATACCTTTGAGTACATGATTAATTCATCTTAAATATATTAACAATCTTCTTTCCCTTATCTAAAACTGCTGTTATTCAGACGTATTTTTAAGAGAACATGATTTGAATAAAAAGTCATACATTGGATTAGCAGTCTGCAAGAACATCACTGAGGTGAATTAATGAAAGATGGTGAGGGACTGGACCGAGTAATATGGGGAATCAAGTGTCAGTGTTTCTATCATGTGATATAGAATTATGTACATTTTATTGTTCTCTTCCCAGCTGTGATCCACTTGTAGCATTTCAACTTCATGCACAGCTCACTGCAGTGGCATAGTAGAACAGATGATGCATTCATCACAGTGCTGTGCATTGTTTCAAAACTTGGTTTAACTTATTACCACTTCCATAGTTTTACATAATTTTTAAGTAAGGAGGAGTTACATTTCATGTAGATATACATTTTCATGGCTAGATACAGTTTATAATAACACTTTCATGATTTTATTACTGCAGGCAGTATGAGGCTTGCTTGATTTCGTTCGAGTAGTTTGCAAAAATGTGAACTGTAGATAGTTTGTCCTCATTTTTTCTGCCTGTTTACTTTGAGTCTCTTTAGGAAGCAGTTTTATGTGCTTCCTTCTGAAGCATAGATATGGCAGAGGATCAGTGTGACAAGGTTGTACTGCACTGTTAACTTGCATTTAACATTTCCTGCGCCTACCCAAGCATGATGCTGGGCAACTTTGGGGTATTGTGGCTGCTTTCCAACACAACTGAAGTGCTGCTTACCTGCATCCAGTCGTACCCATAATAAGTCATAAATGGGCATGCTGGAAGCTGGCAAGGCCATGTAGAAGCTCCTGGCCCCTTTCTTGGGGTAGGTGAATGTTAAAGGGCAGAGCTGCACCATTACTGTTGTCAGTAATGATGAAAGATGAAAATCTTTGAAAGCTGAATTACCTGAATAGCTAAGAAATGGAAATGCTTGATGAGCTAACTGATCCACATTCTCAGAAATGTTGTGAGTCAAAAGCCGTTGTTTGTAGCTACAAACAATCCTTTCTGTTAATGGAAAATTGTTTCCAGGTTTATTTTAATGTCTGTGCTGTCCTAATTAGTGTTTTCACTTCAGCTTTCTAGGGAAAGCAAACAGTTCTATTACTAACATTGTGCTTGTATTGCCTGAAAGATTCACTGTTCACAAAGAAAGAGGGAGTATTGTGGCTTGAGTCACGAGTTAATCTTAAAGCAAGAGTTCTTACTGCATGTCTGCTTACGACTGACCAGAATTGGTGATTTGAATTAAAAACTGTTACATGTATTGACAACTGGAGCCTCCAGTGTGATGGTGTAACTTACTTCGGTGCCATCCAAAATTAGGCCACATTCAGCAATCGAAAATCAGTAGTGCTTGTTTAACCTTGTGTGGCTTAGGAGGAGCTAGCCAATGGTGATTAACAGAAACAAGGCAGGAAATCTGGTCTAGTAATGGCATTTGAGTCTGCTTCCTGTTAGTGCTGTCTTTAGGTGTATCTTGAGCATTAATTAGCATGGAAGTCCGTCTTTTTATTATTTGACCATGAACTGATAGTTGCTGTGGGGCTGGAGAGGCAAAACAGGCACAGTAAACAGGCCAGGCTCCCCTTTCTTTGCTGCTGGGCTGTGGCAGGTGTCCTGCACCTAGCTGGGGTGAGCAAGCAGAACTGGGGAGCAATCTGCACAAGTGTACATAGAAAGAATGGATGAAGTAAGGTGAAATGCCCTCTGTGTCATGTTCTGAAGTTGTGAATACTGGTATATATTATCTTACATGTGTAGTTAGGAAAAATCAGTTTAAAAAGTAAGGCTTAATTGAACAACTTGAGTTGTTCAGTTTAAGTTGATTCATAATGATCTGTCATAACCAATACAAGCATATTAATACAGATTTTACCGTTTTTAATCGTTTTTAATAAATACATAAAGAGCAAGCAGCACATGCATAATTAAAATCATCCCAGCAAACTCTATTGAGGCTGTAAGGAGACTCAGCATCTGCCTGTTGTTTCATGATAGAGGCATAGGAATATGATCCTTTTTCTGTTTCCTGCTAATTTCTAATTTATGAAAGTACGTTGAGATTCAAAAACTGCTGGTGGAGCTAAGATCTCTTGAAAGTATTGGTCCCTGGCCTGAGGAATTCACCAGTTTGAAAAGAGTTTTTGGCCACCTGATCTTTCCAGAAATAAAGGACACCTGAGAGCTGCTGCAATACCTGCAGTGGGTAGTGTGAAACTTTCACTCTCATCAGGTAACTCTGATCTCACCTGTGCTCATTGCATGTGCAGTCACTGTTTAAGTAAAGGAATACATTCAATTTTTTTTGTTTCACCACTCTCCAAAGCTCCAAAACTAACTTTGTACCATCTTCCAAGCCAAGGCTATCTTCAGTCCTGTGATTGCAGCTGCCTACAGAGTAATGACTCCATTTGACAATTAATTTTTGCTTGTTTTAAAATTTATACTACATTGGAATAAATATGAAACCTTTCTGATATTGTTGCTAAACATAAGTAAATACCTCTTTTTTTTTATTCCAGCACCTGCTTATCTAGGCTTTTTTACTGTCCTTTCTCCCTAGTAAAGCCTAAACAAGTGTCTGTCCTTACCCTCAGAATTGCCCAGGGAATGTAGTGCTGTGAAACCTCGTTTAATCTGATAAATCTAAGAAATATTTTGCTTTCAACAGAGCATTGTATTTAGACAAAATGTAATTTAGTCCAAAGTATTCTGACCAGTATCCCACTGATCCTTCAGCCCTCGACAAAATCAGACTCACATGAGCAAAAATGTTAATTGGATTTTTGTTTCCCTTCAGCTAAGTCCCAAATTAAAAGTTGCTAAACCCTGTTCATTGCCACACAGCAATGGGGTTCCAAAGCCACAGATGGGATTTGTGAAGACTGAGAACAGTCCTCTGGGTTCCCATGGCTCCTTTGTGGACGGGTAACAAGAGCCTGTGGCCAGCTTGCCTTACACTGCAGCTCCTCCAAAACAGTTATGAAATTTTCAAACTCATGGTCTGAGTGTAGATTTTGTTAGAAGTACGCTCATAAAAAATTAAGGAGGACTTAATGATTAATTGATACTTAATAAATGATTAATAGATTATTGTGGAGTCCCAGCAAGTCAGTTGTAGTGCTGTGACTTTTCTGACTGCTCATGTCTGCACTATCTCTTTGGCATAAGTGTGTGTAAACTCTACAGCTGTATCTTTTGTGTACACACCAAAGCTATGTAACTATTAATTCAATTTTGGGACATATTCATATTAATTAAGTTTTATAATGTCTCCCATATCTGCCTCTTAGCAGGTAAGAAAGAGAAGAACTTGAATATGTGATTCTTTGTAACACCTTCTGAAGTAGAAGAAAAGCTTCATCTGTACTAACATCAGAGAGCACAGTATTCTCTTGGCATAACCAAGATCTGAAGTAGAACTGTGGCCACATGAGGCATCTCTGTGCTGGGTGCAGCCCTGTGGCTGAGGAATGCTGTTGGTACCCTGAAGTTCTTGTTTCCAGGCTTTCCGGGCTTCCTTTCATCTTACCATTTTGTTTGACCACAAAGTGCATTTCTCATGCAGCTCTGAACTTCACAGTATCACCTCCATTTTGCAGAAGATCCCTCCCTAAAGAACTCTGCCTCTTGGATCTCTTAAGAGCAAATTCTTTTCAGTCTTCACATTCCCATTCCTTTTGTAGGCAGTGCCAGCCTTGAAAACTTCCATGCCATCCTTCCCCAGCTCCTGCATCCAGTGAACAATGGCCTTCTTTGGGCTCCAGCCTGCTTCCTAAAATGCCCATTTGGGCAGCATGTCCACAGCAGAAATGCAAGAGTAGGAGGTCATCTGTAAGGGGAAGTGCTTCATGCACCATCTCCTCCTGCAGTAGCCAGGCCATTTCCTTTTCCCTCTCCTCCTGCCTCCGTCTGTCCCTGATCTTGCAGTTTCTCACCATTTTCACCATGATTTGTGCCTGACTGCCCTCACAGAATGACTTTTGAGTTAGAACTATCAGATTAAGATCTCACCATATACTCACTAAAACGTTTCTCCCATTACATAAACTTGTCATGTACAGTGAGCAGTGTTCCTCTGCGCTGTGTTTCTTTAGATACTGGCTGTGGAGTTCTTAGCTGTGCCTAAAGATTAATTCTCCTTTGGTTTTGAGGCTCCATCCGTTCTCATGGCTGACTCATGACCTATCTTGTTATTTGCTAGGTTTAAGTGCGGTAGCTAGGAGACTAATAGAGCAACACTGATTGTTTTCTCCCATTTGACCGGTTTATAATATCTTGTGTAGCCAAATATTGCAGCAGATACTTCAATTCTATTAAAATGTTACTAGATATTGCATCGATCCAGAAATTAATGACACCACTTTTCCTGTTTTTGTGTTATATAAACCAATGTATGCACTTAAGAGCTTCCTCAGCTTTAGTTTGGATTACAAACCTGCCGTAATAAATAAATTATGGCAAATATTTTGAATAAGCACAGCTGTAAACATCTATGGGTTCAAAATCACAGTTTTACTTCCTTTTTTAAAAAGGGAAAGCCCATGGAAAGGAAACTTTGGGGGCAGGCAAGCATAGAGAAAATGTAGTGGAACATAAAATCAGGTCTCTTGTGTTTGCAGCACGGGTGGGATTCCAGGAGGATAAGCAAATTAGAAAACCAGACTAAACAGAAAACAGTGGAAGTGTGTTCCCTCTTATTCAGCTCTCCCTCAAGTGCTGTATTTGATGCTGTTGGAATGCTTGTGTTTCTCTCAACTGCTCTCCTGATGTGTATCTACACAGTATTGAAGTAGCAGGTGTTATTTCTAAAGGGGTCAGATGTTTTCTGCTGCAGCCTTGATATGAGGAATGATCTTAGTGTGGATGCTGCCTCATGATGCTGAGGTGCGTGGAGGCTTCTCTGTGGAAAACATCTCTTGAATCAGCAGAAGGTGAGAAGAACAAACCTTTTTGAGGTCAGGGCAATTGGTGGGTTGTTCATGTGATCAGTACTTTGCTGTTTGTAAATCAGAAACAGGTATCAATAGGTACTCAGTCTGAATGTTTCATCTAGGTGTCCACTCGTTAGGATATAAATCCTTCTAAATCTGTGCTGGTTTTGTTGTCTTGGGAGAGGGTAGAAGCACTCCTCTGAGCTTAGAGGTGTCAGAGATGGATGGAGAGAAATGAAAAAGGAGTTGAGAAGGTGCTGAGAAAGCTCAGATGTTAAATATTGCAGATTTGCAGGGGAGGAGGTGAATATAAACATTAATTTCCCCTTCTATAATATAAGAGAAATAAAGATTTGAACCTGCCTTCTGTAGACAGCATTAGGAGTTGTGCCAGACCCCAGTGAGGATTGATGAACCACAACAAGTGTGTTAACTGTCAGGCATATGAGAGCCGAGGTCATCATCATTTCATGGGATTGGGTTCAGATTCTGTGATCACTTCAAGAAAAGAAGAAATTTTACAATGGTGGATGATTCACCACCTTGTTCTTTGTTTCCTGCAGTTTGGAGAGTGTTGTCATGGAGGAGGCAGGCAGCATCTTCAGAAATACTCTTCTCATTAGTGATGTGTTTGTATTATTCTCATGTTTGCAGTAGCCAGTCAACAACAAATAATTCCTGGCAACCTTGTTTGACAAAACCTCAGTCGGTAATACACGCCCGCAAGCGATGACTTCCAGCATCCTGTTTTTGGTGCTGAGTTTGTCTTTGGAGTGTTCATGAATTAAAAAAAAGTACTGGAAAACAAACCGAACAGTGTAACAGGATTTTGTAGGAAGGAGACAAACTGTATCTTCTCTGGTGTTTTGAAAAGCAGATTGAAAATGTAAAAGATATGAACAAGGAAACTGGATATGTGCACAGGCTGCCTCTCTTCTGTGTCCATCCCAGCTGTGCTGGCAGACCTCCCATTCACTCTTACAGATGAGCTGAGAACAATGCAAAAAGTCAGCAGCACTGCCTGTTAGGAAGGTAAAAAAATTACATTCTGTAGGATTGCAGAAGTTCTCAGTCATGCAGTCCTGCTTTCTGGTGTGAAACACAATGGCAGATTTCAGTCGTTTTAGCATCTTATGGGCATCCCTGCTTTTGTCATTACAAAAAACAGTGAAATGTTGTTTCTTTGCTATGTGTGTACATTATTGAGTTTTTGCAGCCACGTGGCTGCCATGATACCATTAATTGTTTTGACCAGTGAAAAGTTTATGTCAATATTTAGAGCCAGCTGGTACTGCAAGTGGGTAATTTGTCACGTGTGCACAGGTAACTGCCCTCTGTCTTCTGCTTGCTTTATTGTAATACTGGTGTGGATGCATGAATTTTCACTTAAAGTAATTGTTTATGTTCCATTTTTACTCTCCTATTGGACCTTTTTGGGGCCAGTGCTAAAATCTGAGGTCCTCTCTCCCATTAAAGCTGGAGAAAGTGCTGCTGTGCCTGCCAGGGTCAGGGCCTTCCCAGAGGGATGCAGGCAAGTGGTGCCCATTCTGCAGAGCATTCAGTTGGTCATGTCAAACGTGGGCCCTGAGCTCTTCATGGTCTGAATGGCTCCCTTCTCAGAGCTGTCAGCTCAAATCCAGTGTCTTAGCAATATTTCACCCCTTGTGTGACTAGAGGGCAAGGACCTTAGATCTGTCACTAAACTCTGATTTCCTGTCCGAGTCAGGAAAGCATTGCTCCAATTAGGCTGCATACCAACCTCTGAGTCTTCTAATTAATTTCCTTTCTGCTGGTTTCTGAGCTTTCTCCACCGCTGCTGTTCTTTAGATTCTGTCCTTCAGCAATAGTTTTTATGATTTGCGGTAGTTAAAAGAACTTGCTTCAGGCTGAAATTTAGCCTGAACAGTCACTGAAGATAGCTAGAAATAGATTTTCTTTCTACAGGAAAAGTGTGTTCCAAGTACAGAATTATAAATCAATAAACACAGGTAATTTGGGGTTGCTGTGGGGCTTTGAGTTTGGTGGGTTATTCTGCTAAATGCCACTTCAGTGAGTAATCTGCAATACGAGTCGGTATATGGCTGTTTTCTTCAGTGAAAACGTTGGTTATTAGTCATTATGTATTTAACATGCCAATGGATCATTAAAAATAAGTTTCCCAAATTACCAAGCTCAAACAGGAAAAAGTCTGTATCCGAATGGTTAGTCTGTGACTGTACATGGTAATCGTACTTATGTTCAATTTTGGGTATGTGGCGGATCTCATTAGACTTTGCTAGACAGTGTAGACTTGTACAGGTAAGCCACCTGTGCAGTCAGGTCACTTGGTGTGACTGCAGGGAGCCCCAGGGCCTCCACTCTGGGCAATTTCAGGGTGTGCTGAGGATGGCCGGTGTGTGACAAGAGGCCTGGGCAAAACAGGTCCCATGACATAAAGGTTGGCTGTCTGCATAGATCCCAGTAGGGTTTTCAAACATAGGCTCTTGCCAACATCTCTTTCTTATTTTAATGAAGTGTAAGGTTTTGAAAATATGCTGAACTTTGCCTTCATCTCTTTTTACCCTAGAAGAGTCTTGCATTTGCAAAAAAAAAATCTATGTTAATTTTCTTCATATTTTCCCACTGCATTTAATTCCTGATGTTCTTCTATAGCCCTTGTTAGAGCTATAGCTATATTGCTGGCCCTTGGCATTGTTTTTTACTCACAGATTTTTAATTAACATTTTGAGGACCCTGAAAACTGTTTCCTGGGTCATCTAGTCCATCTAGCAGTGCCTAGCACTATCAAAAGGCATTTGCTGCTTTTCTTTTCTAGGTACAGGCAGCGGATCCCTGTCCCACGCTCTCATCAGGACAGTGGCTCCCACGGGGCACCTGTACACAGTGGAGTTCCACCAACAGAGAGCTGAGAAGGCCAAGGAGGAATTTCGGGAGCATGGAGTAGAGCATCTGGTCACGGTGACCAACCAGGATGTCTGCAAGAATGGATTTGGTGTCTCAGACATTGCAGACGCTGTGTTCCTGGATATTCCATCTCCATGGGAAGCCATCGGACATGCAAAGGCAGCGTTAAAAGCTGAAGGTAACTGTACTAGCTCTTTATAGGAAGTACCATCTCTGCCTCTCAGCTGTATGTTAGATCTGCTCCTTTCCATTATGTGATCGCTGTTCTCAAATCTCAAAGTCTCTAAGCATTTCAAAGGATGAAAAAGAGGTTTTCAGTTTGCAGGGAAAGATTTGAAAAGAGCAGAACAACTTTTTCCTACAGGTCTGTGCTAGCTGCTACAATTAATGGGCAGTTTATAAAAGAAAACAACGTTTGAACCTTTGTCTAGTGTGTTTTGTAGATCAGAGGGTGTGTGGGAGGCAGCAGCAGCAATAAATGCTGAGAGCAAATTTCTTTGGCACTTCAGTGGAAAGGTGTTTGTATAAAAGGTGTTCAGAATCACTTTACATCAATCATTGCAGATTGGGCCATTTTAACAATGCTCCACATCAATAATGTTAAAGAAAATGTGGTTATTCTTAAATATGCATGCTGATTTCTACCTTAAATCTCTGCTGTCAGAGCTAATGGGAAGTATGACATTGGCTGCAGTAGGAATTGAACCTAAAGGGTGTTCCAGCTTGTGCCAGCTGCTCCTGGATGATGACAACAAGTGGAGACTGCTACTGCGGGATTGGATGGGTTTTGTCTGTTTGTAATAAATCTTTTCCCTATTCAGAAGTAGGGAATAAACCATTCTCCTATCCTGAAATAAGTTTTCCCCTGATTGCTGTTCTGCCAATGTAGCTGCACTGCTGTGAATCTGAGCTAACTTCTGCCAGGCTATGAAGTGACTTTTCTAATCAAGAGAGTATGGAGTGCAGAACAGTGCCCATGCTGGGACACGACTTTAGCAGCGTACTGACTTTAGGTAAATTGCTTGGTCTAAATCACAGGATTTAAGCTTGTTCTTAAAGGTCACTGAGTGTATTTGAGACAGGACCAACCCAGGCTGTAGGCTCCCCCCACTACCATGGAAAATTTTCAAGGAAGCTTTCCAATACAACGCATTCTTTAAAAAGTAAATAAATAAAAAGAGACTAATTAGCACTCTGTACCTGCAAGGATAACAGCTGAATTTGTAGCTGCTTTCCAGTGTGTCCTGGGAAAAAAATAATGTTCACGCACTGTACAATGCCCTTCCCATGCTCAAATTATCTAATCTGGTGAGCAGAACACTCAGCTGACTCCCCAGCTTAGAAGGCGCTGCATTGCGCAGCCCAGTTTGAATTATTTAAGTGGTGCATGTTCAGAATACTGAGCAGGGCTGCTTGAGCAATTCCAAGGTTTGAAGCCCTGTCTCACTCCAGCATTTGAAAAACAGATAAAAGGTCCCATAGTACCAAACTGACAGTACTCTTTGGCTACACTTTTCTGTGCTACAAGGTTAATCTGCTAAGCCAATATTAAAAATATTTAAAACCCTGCTTTTTTTTTTTTTTTTTTTTTTTTGTCTGTAAAGTGACGTCGTGTGCGTTTCATCAGGCAGAGGGTGAAGCTGCTTACTGCTGTTTTCAAATAGTTACAGCTCTTCTGGAGTAAGAACAGGTTGTGCATGTACTGCTGCTGCTCACCTCCATTTCGGTGATAAGACATCACTGGAGGCAATGAGCCCTTGCACTCTTTTCCCTCCTTATCCTCTCTCATGCATCTGGACAGGATCACGTGGCAGGTTTTATTGTGATGCACAATGTAAACATTGCATCTGTGTGCTGCCAGGTAGTGGTCATTCATTCGCTGAGGTGGTAAGGTAATTAGGTTGAAGTCAGGGCTGAATGAATTCAATATATAGCATCCAGTTAACCTCCTCTTTAGAACCACAATATTCCTTATGGAGTTTTCAGCTGAGATTGCATGTAAGAGAGAGTTCTCGACCTCAACAAATGCTTATCAAATCAGTATTTTCTCTCCTACTTATGCTCAAGATCCTGAGTCTTGCAGCTCCTAGTAGGCTGAGTGTTAATGATCCTCTTCACAGAGTACATTTATCGCTCACGTTATGCCTACCAGTAGGCTGCAAATATGCTGCTTACGATAGCTTGGCCTCCCGTTCAGTGCACTGCCAACTTGTGAAGAGCTAAAGGGATAAAAATGCACAGAGTGTTTTTGACTCGAAGGTTATTGTTCTCTGGTGACATGCTCTGCTGATGCTCAGGCTTGCATCTCAGCTGCATCCTTCTGTGCTCATTTCACCAGTCAAGCTTTCAAGCAGAAATGCTGCTTGTAATATCTCTCAGGCACTGCTGCACTGCAGAACTTGCTTTCTGTTCCAGACCTGCACTGTTTTCCTTTTGCAGCATCTGCTGATGAATGCTTTTCAGTAGTCATAGCAGTATCTGACCTTGGTGGTTTTTTGCAAAGCTGCTGTTAACCCCTTGAGGCTAGATTTTTTAAAAAAGAATAATTTAACAGAATGAAAAAAATGAGAGGTAACAGAAATATCCTCCACATCCTACAGTGCTTAAATACCCCAAAACTTTTGACTCAGTCGTCTCCCAGCTGAATACTGTAGTGCTTTGGTTATAATTCTGTACCCACCTACTCTGCTCTCTAAGTATTGCCTATTTCATACATATATACATATAATTGTTAGAGTTGGAAGGAACCTTTAAAGGCCATCCAGTCCAACCCCCCTGCACTGAACAGGGACACCCACAGCTCCATCAGGTGCTCAGAGCCCCGTCCAGCCTGACCTTGGCTGTTTCTAAGGACGGGGCATCCACCACGTCATTGAGCAAGCCTGTGCCAGTGCATCACCACCCTTATTGTAAAGAAGCTTCTTTCTTATGTTCAACCTTCATGTCCTCTCTCCATAAAGCCCCTAAATTATGAGTTTGTCAAATAGTGATCTGTGTGATCTCACCTGGATTGAGTGACACGGTTCAGGTCTCCCCAAAAAGCCCTGCAGTGGGAGTTCCCTCCAAACACTTCCCTGTATGGGCCTCTGTGTTTCTTCCATTGAAGAAACCTTTTAGGAATACTCTGCTCTTCTTAGAGGTAGTTGCTTTTCATTTCCAAAGTCTTTTGTCTGTTTTGTTAGTTCACAGTGGACTTAAAACAGGTCTTGCTTACATTCTTTCCTCTACCATATCCATTGATTGTTGTTCTAACTTGCCAGTTTTGGTTCTTACGGTTGCTGTATAAGCAAATAAATAACGCCCCAACCTCCCAGTAGCCTGTGGTGTAGGTAAAGGATTTAATTTTCATTTAGGTTTGCTTCCTTCCTCCCTGGTGCTTTCAGGGAATACCAGTTCCATGCAGAAATTCTCACTGGCTATTTTTCCTGAGCCCTAGAGGTTATTCATGGTCCCATTTTCAAACCACTCAGGTATGGCTTTGAGGAGCAGCTGAAATCTTTAGCCACTTCCATGGCAGCTGTGTTGGGAGCCCCCTGGGCTGAACCATGCTGAGAGGGCAGCAACGTGAGGCTGCTGCTGGTTGAACCTCAGCTGCCTCAGGAGCACACAGGGAATGTGTTAGGGCAGGAAGTGGAGCCTGTCAGTCTAGTGTGCTGTCTAGACTTTCTTCCTCCACCCATGCAGGTGGTACACAAGATGGTATCAATGCTTCTCATGTCCATAGGAGGTTGTTTTGGAATAAATGAATGAAGCCATATGTGTCTGTAAAACACCATCACCAGCCTTTATTAGTGCCATCTGCTTTGATTTGAAGGAGAATTTGCTCAAGGTGAAGTTAAGGATAATCAAGGTCAGGCTGGACAGGTCTTTGAGCACCCTGATCTAACTGTAGGTGACCCTCTTCATTGCAGGGGAGGTGGGCTAGATGGCCTTTAAAGATCTCTTCCACCTCAAACAATTCTATAATTGTATGATAGTTTGAAACAACCTCCCAGTGTTGAGGGACCATCTGGTCTAGCGCAGAGCTGCCCTGCTAGGATCAGAAGTAGGTGATAACTCTCAAATTCCATCTGGTTCCCAAGCAGTACTTGCTGAGCTAAGCACGGCTGGCGTATCTTGTTGGAAGGCATTAACCTAGCTGAGGTTGCAGAGATTTTTAGCTCAGCTGCACACAATGGGTCTGGCCCAGCAGCCTAAGCAGAAATGATTCCCTCACCTGTCGTGAGCTAAGCAGGTTTCCTGCACTGTAATCCATGCTGTGGAATGCTGTCCAAAATTGTTGGACTTTGCACAGCTTGTAGAAAGAAGCTGGGGATGAAGGGAATCTTAAAGGAAGTTGTTAGATTTTTTTCATGAGTTTGGTGCCAACTTGTTTTTTTTGTTTTCATTTTTGAAACATGCTTTAGCCAGCTCCATAGCAGTCAGTAGGAATGAATTCCTTTGGAAGGGTGCACCTACAAACACAGGTTAAGGTCACATTTGCAGAAAATGGCATTAAGCTCCCATTAAAGAGCTGGCAATTGATTTGGAAAAATTTTTCTTTTCTGAATCAAGAAACATCCTTTAATTTCTAACAACAGCCAAATCCTCTAATTTCACTTGTCAAGGAAGCTGCATCAAATCGCCCACGAGCACATTCATTTAAAGGACATTTTGTCCCCTTTTGCAGAGGCAATATTTTTAGTGTCCTGCTAGCACAGAGTAAATGCCATAGTGATGCTGCTCTGTGACTTTCCTGCCTCGCCCCTACATAATGATCATGCCATGGGATCTTTGTAACATAATCTTCCAATTATCACAAAGCTCTGAAATCCCAAAACCCAGAGCTGTGTTCTCTTACCAGAAATAAAAATGCTGTGCTGCATTTTCTGCGTCACAGAACCATTTCCAAAATTATGGGCCGTTTTCTCAGGAACTTAGCAGTGCTGCACTACATATGTTCTTTTCACATCCTCTGAGTAATACTGTGATGATGAGCAAACCTAACAGAGTACTTGTGACGCATACAGCAACCTGCAAAAGAGAGGGCACGTAACTTGGACACATGTTGTTTTCATATCATGAGGATGCATTGAGTTTGTGTCCATTGGTAGCACTGCCAGATTTTCCATGCTGGATACCTCGTGCAGATTTTAGGTAAGTAGAACTGGTAGAGGTGTTACTTTTTGCTCACACAAACCAGAAACGCAGTTGCTTGGTGGAGTTGCACAGAAGCACGCCAAGAGCTGTGCTGGAAGGAGGAGCAATTTCCAAGGCACTGATCTCTAGTAAAGATAGCAAGGTGCGTCTCTTGATTATTAATTAGACACTTTCAATACCATGCTTAAAAAAAATGTACAGTGCTTTGTAGATGCAAATGCTCTCTTTTATTTCTTCCCCTTCCCCTAAGCTCTCTCCTCTAATTGTTCCAATTGTACTTTAATTTTCATAGGCTCTTGACCCCACTGCTGGTTAGAGTGGCTGCCAGGACTGTGTGGGCACCTTCCAGCCTACACATTCAGATTTAACCTCTCCATTAAATGTTTCAAATAAACTCACTCTCTGTAAAATTGAAGGTGGAAAAAGAAATGTAAGTCTTTAATACAGACTCATTATTTTCTTTTCAACTTTAGCACTTGTCAGAGGCATTATACATGAATAAACACATTTTTAGACAGCTCTTCAGATCAAAAAGCTCACACGGCTTCCCAATGTGAACAGGATTAATCTCAGATAATTGCTGTATCCATTTATGATGACACACAGGTCTCATTAAACAAATTTAGGAACAGTAGCTTTCCTAAAAGGAGAGCTCTGAGAGAACATGAACCTGGCTTGCACCTGGAAGTCCTGCTCCTTCAGCAGAAGAGCATGTCCTTCTCAGTGCTGCTTTTCCTTTGCTCAGAGTCCACTTTTTTTTTGCAGCTAAAAACACCATGGCAAATGAAGCATCCCAAATCTATTTTAGGCAGTCTCTGTAAGTCTGGAGCCGCGATTTCATTTCTACCTTCAAGCCTTCTGCTAATTGCAGCCTTCCAGCCTTTTCTTAACACCTTCTTAATGAAACAAGTTCAGCCCATGAGTCCAACCCAGCCTGTAGGGTGATGCTGAGAGGAGACAGCAAAGAAGACCTCCTCGCCGGTTTGACAGACGCCATCTGGATGTCAGCTATCACAGGCACCTTCTTCTCTACGCAGTGGCTCAGAAGCCCATTTTCTGTAGCCCAGCTTCCCTAAGCAGCCTGCTTTGTGAGGAGGCAGCCTGATAAATTAACACCAAGTTTGGTGCTGCCATGCTGTGCTCAGCTGACCATCCTGAGGCAAAATGAAGGTTGCTCTGGCTTTAATTGGAGGCTTGACAAAAGCCGTAGGCGGGTCTGCAGCTTGTATTGCCGCAGTTGTGTGCAGGCTCCTTACTTTTCCTCTGTGAATCCACAGCTTGTGCCTAAAGACGTCTTGAAATCTTTGCAGTCGGAGTAAATGAGGAGAACAGGTTTGTTGTAAATGTAAATATGTTGCCATCTTTTGTTCCAATATGAATGCAAAAAATGAAAAGCCTGAATGAAATCGTAGTAAGTCTCAGATCTCAGTGCAGATTCTTTCTTCGCAGACAAAGAGTTACTGTGAGCTGACATTTAGCTAAGTTAGACGTTTGTTCGGTTCCCTGCGCAATAAGAACATGGCATCGTTCTCTATGGCATATGGTCATTATAGTAACTTTCTAGTTACGTAACAGAATTTCTTCTCGAGCTTTTCTCTTTTATGCCTACAACCATGGCAGTGTACTGCCTGGCCGGAAGGGAAGAGCTGTTGGATGCAGTTCTGGTAGTGCTGACCGTGCTGATAAACATATAAATCTAATTTCATGGGATCTAGCAGACCGGGTGCGCAATTAAATTGGCATCCTGAGAGTTGGTTAATAGTGACACAAACCAGCATTAATTTTGCAGGAGGTTATTAGATTTGTTCTTTAATTGTCACTCCAGGGAATTACTTGTCTGGGGTACTTTGTTCTGAAGATGCATGATAAGAACTGCTGGCTGTGGAGACTTTATCCCAGGACTAAAATTAAATCCTGCTTAGTGTGTGGTGGATTAATGGTCATGGAAAGTGTTCTTCCCCAATCAGTGCCCGGCACATCATTGCTGTGCAGTAACTGGAGTGCTGTAGTGACACTCTCAGACCTGATGCTTTCTTTTTTTAGAGATGTGACTTTAGAAATGAGGAAGGGGGGGGAAAAAAAAAAAGAGTGAGTTTGAGATAAAGCAGGCCTCGTGTAGCCCCTGCATTGCCTCTATTTTTAGCAGGATGCTTTGCTCTCAGCTGCACGGGTTTTTTAACTGCTTAGACAACAGGGCTTGGGAGGCTCAACGGGATGAGCCTGGGAGAGGGCTGGGAAGGAATGCAAATTAGGTCAGCACGCATTTTCATCTAATTGTAAGAAGTGAAACACTGGCTGAAGCTGCATTGTCCAGCTCCTTCCCCCAGCACAAAAGCTTTTCAGGAAGGGCAGCGTCCCTCGTGGGACACTGTGTCCTGGGTGAAAGCACATGCCCTGGGTTTGTGGCAGACAGTGTCCTTATAATTCTTTGATCTGATTTGGCTGTGGCTTTTCAGAGTAAATCTGAATCGTTCTATTCTCAGCTGTTAAGGTGACATTGTAGCCAGCAGAAAGTTGTAGGGAACCTATTAGTGTTCTGAATGTGGAATCCAAACTGAGCCACGCGCAGAGGAGGAGGTGAGTGTTAGTTTGTCACTAAGAGCCCTTTCCTAGTGGTTTGGTGCATTCGCTGTGAAACTGCCCGATGTGGTATTCAGTAAATTTTAATGCTCAAGAGACGCGCTAGTCAGCTTGACTAAAAGGGTAAAGTCTTAGCAGCACTCCATCTATGGCCTGGAGAGATTACTTTATTCTGTACACGCATACCATCGTTCCCAAATAAACACAGCCGCTTTTGTCGGAGCGTGTGTGCACGCACACTTAGATTCTAATGAAGGCAGCTCTGAACAGTGTGTGGAGAATGACTTCTGGCTTTGTGTAGTTGCCAGCTTCAGAGCAGTGCCTCGGCCCAGAACAGTGGATAGTGACTCCGAAAGAGGCACTGCCCTGAGGGGATTGACTTTAAGAGTTTTATCATGAACAAGTGTGGTGGGCAACGCTGGGTTTGGGAGATGAGTGAGTTTGCCACTGCAGTTTTCAAAGAGTCTGATGCATCTTGTGAAATCATCCCTGCTTGATGCTGACGCTGTGATCCCACAGAGTTGCCTGATGAAGATTTTCTTTCAGAATGTTTTTATTTTTGTATAATTCACAGAATCTTAGAATATCCCAAGTTGGAAGTGACGCATAAGAATCATCGAGTCCAGCTCCTAATTGTAATTCTACTTGCAGCTAGGAGAATTTGAAAAAATAGAGAAAGTGCTTCATTTGTGTTCTTGCCCTCTTATCTACTACCTGTCTTCTTTTGCAGGTGGCCGCATCTGCTCTTTCTCCCCCTGCATTGAACAAGTCCAGAGAACTTGCCTAGCAATGGAAGAGTACGGTTTTACAGAGATTAACACCTTGGAAATTCTGCTCCGAGTATACAATGTAAGGACAATTAGTTTGCAAATCCCTGACCTTGGAAAAGCAGCTGAGGATAATTCTAGCGCTGGCTTTGACAGCAGCAACCCATCAAACCAAGGTAGCCCAGGCACTAATCTGCAGCAAGGAGTGGTGCAGTTCAAAAGCGGCGTGCCACTGAGGGAGATGGTGGGTCACACTGGGTACCTGACCTTTGCCACTAAGAGCCTCTTCTAGTACACTTCAACTTGGGGAAGTTTGGAGTGTTTTGTGTGTTTGTGTGCATTTGCCGTTTTCGTGGTTCTTTTTTGTAGGGCATCCAAATTTTTCCTTGTCAGGGAATTCCATATATAGTCAGATTTAGTTGGAATATGCTTTGTTTAAATAGCACGCAAGCATTAACCAGAGCAGCATCCAAGGGAATGTTGGAACTCTGGAGCAGTGCTCCGCTTGCCGTCAGAAAGACAAAGTAATAGCAAGTGGCCATTCATTGGAATGTGTGGGATAGAGATTCCTCCTGATAAGAAAGTAAAACAGCACACTGATCACAAACAAGATGGATTTTTTTCCTCTTCTTTTCTGAATGACTGTCCAAATTTTATGTTTTTATCACAGCACCACGAGACAGTTCTCTTTTCAAACTTCTCTGGCGTATGTGTGTTGCTTTTAGGAACGTGGAAGTGCTTCTTTGCTTCCTTTTGGATGTGGAAGTTGCAGAGCCGTACGGTTGCCTGCATGGCAGGTCACAGTATTAGTGTTTCTTTGGAAAATGTAGAGCTGCACAGAGGGTTATTGGCAGCACTCAGGATCACAGCCTCTTACTCCATTCTGGCATCTGCAAATCATTTGGATTACACAGAGTTTGAATAAGTGTGCTAATTGTTGGATTTGGTCTAAAATGGTATTGCTGTCAATTGATAGTAGAAAATCAGGCATAGATTTGTATTATAATCTTCTAATAGGTCTGCTGTCAGTGTTATGAACCCACTGTGAAAATGCACGTGAACGGATGGGGAATGTTACCTGAACTTCTGTTTGTGAGCAGTGTGGCTGAGGTGCAGTTTGCTTGGTGTTTTATGTGCACGATGGTGAGTTATCGTCCTGCAGCTGAATGACAGTAAGATTGCTTTTGGCAGGACTTGTCTCCAAATGGCAACGATAATGCAAACGTGATAAAACCATTAATCAGCCATATTAATTAACTTTTTAGACCATTTACTCTTCAGTATTCCATAAAAGCTGGTGGGTGGGATGAACTTTTTGAATGCTGGATTACGTGTTATTATTTACAGAGTAAAATAATTATGAAAAATGTTGAAGTTCCTCTTTTTATTTAATGTGTAGGGTTTTGGTTTTTTTTAACAATTTCACAGATATTCCAGCCACCAGTACCATCTCTGGAAATATTTGGCTGTGCCTTGCATTTGGCACTTCCATTTGTTGATTGTAAGAAAAATAACCATCCATAACCTGCTGCCTGAGCAATTGAACCTGATATCCCTCCCCCATTCTTGACAAAAATAAACAAAGCTAAGCTTTTAACATGTTATGGCAGAATGCTAATCCATAATGGTTTAAAGAAAGCTCAACCGATCACGACAGCAAAGATAAACTGTTGAGCAGATTAAAGGCAGAAAGCAATTCTGTAGCACTAAATCAGTTATGTAAGCAGGCCTACCATTGTAGCTTTTCTCCAGAAATTATGTGAATGTTCTGTTTCTGCTGTTGTTAACTTCCTTCAGACAGATTTGTGCTAAACTGCTGACACTGTTGGTGTGGTTTGGTGGCTGTGTTGTAGTGATGTACATATAAGTGCATATGCACATGTTCTTGTGTGCTTGAACTGCCACCATGGAAGTGGTGCTGAGGGACTCAAATAAACCAGAAGAAGGCACGAGGAATTAGAAAGTTAATGCTATGAGACTGCTTACCTGGAGGTGATTCATGCTTTCAATTTCAAGTATTTTTTTTTTTCATTTCAAGTGGGATCCCCAGCCTTCACCAGGGATAATCATAGAATCATAGAATCGCAAGGTTGGAAACAACCTGCAAATTGTATATAGATGAAGATCATCTAGTCCAACCGTCCTCCCACTACCACTGCTACCACAAGCTACTAACCCATATCTCATAGTTCCTCATCCAGGCGCCTCTTGAACACTGCCAGCGACGGTGACTCCAGCACTTCCCTGGGCAGCCATTCCAGTGCCTGACCACTCTCTGAGAGAAAAAGTTTTTCCTTATGTCTAACCCAAAACCACCTCTGGCACAACTCATGACCATTTCCTTGGGTCCTGTTTGTTGCCTGGGAGAAGAGGCCAAACCCCTCCTCATCACAGCCTCCCTTCAGGAAGTTGTAGAGTGCAATGAGGTTTCCTCTGAGCTTCCTCCAAATAACTTCAGGGATTCTTTTCTGACATTCCAACAGGATTAAAGAGGAACAAAGTCACATTTCTGTCCTACAAATAGACATGGAATGGAAATACCAATGTGTCTTCACGGAGTTTGAAACAAGGCTTGATGCTTCTTTGCCTACAAAGCTCAATTCAAAACCCCTTGAAATAAACCATTGACTTTGCATGGCCCATATTGATTTGATCTCTGCTGAGGAAAGGCAAGCATTGCGTAACAGGAGAAGGATTTAATTTCTGTCTTTGCAATATTAAAAAGGCCTCTGTGTCCTTGTTGCCAGTTCAGGCCATGGCTATCACCACACTGCTTCCAGCTGGTGTTTTGCTGGCAGGGTCATGGGGAGAACTCTCTCTGCCCAGCACGGACCACCTCTTAGTTCTGCTTATGATTATCCACTTAAACATTCTGGCAATCTTTGCTGTCAAAAGTAGTAAATCCGAAGTATGGGTTTTTCCCATCACAGTGGCTGAATCTGCTTGGGCCACACTTTCAATGACTCATCTTTCTTTTTAAGACACTTTTAGTCTTCAGTCTAGAATAAGACGCCTCTTCTCCCTGCCCTACCACAGCTCAGTCACACATTGCCAGGCCACCTTCTCCTTGCTAGCTGTGCACCTGCATCCCTCGCTTTGGACAAGCACCAATACACGCCTCTGCCTCACAGCTGGGTTCAGCTTGTCCCAGGTGCTCCATGCCCTCCAAGCCAGCAGTCATAGACACCTTGCAACCTACAAGGCAAACAATAATGACTCAGGTGAGGCTTGTGAAACACTTGAGAGGCTTGCTGTTGTTCACTGTCTTGCTGTGCTTTAATTAAAGCATTGCAGATCTATATCTCATTGTGGTTGTTTCCTTCTTACTTGTTAGCACAAAACTTTTCCTCTGAAGATGCAAATATAAATTGTGCTTGAGAAACTGAAAGGGATCATGTAGCAAAAGCAGTATGAACTTCCTCTTTTGCCTAATTTCCTGCTCTATTCTCCTTAGGTACTTTGGGCTACGTGATGGTGAGGAGATGGCTCTTGCTTGCAAGTGTTCCAGAGATGAGGGTTCTGGTTCACACACTCCCTCGAGAGTACATCTGTGCTCCATTAGTCCTGGTGAGCGGGATGATTGCGGAAGTCGTAGTGACCCAGAAAGGCAGGGGGCTCAGAGATGCAGCAAGTCTAGATCTCTTTGTAAATACTAGTGCACATCCCAGCCGCCTGCATCATTAGGTGCTCAAGCACACTGGCAGTCTTCTGAATAGACTGGAGACAGCTGTGCCCTCCTGGGCTGCAGTTCAGTGATGTCCAGTGCCTAAAACTCACCTCTGATGCAGCTGGGAGCAGGGCACACTCAGAAAAGGAGGGCTGGGGCTCTCAGACTCTATTTGCAGGGCTCCATCTCAGCTTCTGCTTGCGCAAGTATGAGAGGCACAAGGAGAGAAAAGTGGGAGAGCTAGTGTTGCATAATGATGTTGCACCAAAGGTACGTGCAGCTGTGAGTAGCTGAAGGGGGTTGCTCTACCAGCAGAAAGTTCTGTCAGTGTCACCATGAGGAAAAGCATTTACATGCTACTGGCCTCCTGAGTGCTCCTGAGGAACCGTTGTTCAGATGCCAAGAGAAAGGAGACAGACTGTTATTTCCCTTTTCCCTGTGTGACAGCTTCTGAACTGGAATGAATCTGCAACGGTATCAATGCAGAGAACAAACAGACCTTGAATCAAATTGTCAAATAAAAATAATTGTCCTCGCTTTTACCTGAATATCTCTCTCATGAGCTCCCTGTCCTTTTGTTGACTGCTCAGGACATGCTGTTCTTCTCTTAGGGAGGGCAACAGCTCTGAACTCCTAGGTGAGCTGGCTGACATGCTGATAGAAATGACTGCAGAAGGCAGCTGGGAGCAGAGGCCTGTGGGAGCGATCACTGTACCTACATGTTTCTCACCTGGTTCCAAGGACAGATGACATACAGCTGCACCTTCCATACAGTGAAGTGGTCTGTTCCCCTCATCTCCCACTTGCTTTCAAACCCAAAGGTAGCAGAGCATACATGCACAAGCCCCTCCTGGTGCTGCAAAGCAACTCAGGTGGCACAACCAGGTTTTTGGCAAGCGCCAGCATTTTCCTGTTTGCTTTACAACTGCTGTCCCACAGAGTGAGGAGTAAGGCATCATTTGTCACCCCAACCTCAGGCACGTGACCACAGAGACTCCACAGACACAGTTGCTGCAAGGTGCTGTGTGTACTGTTGCAAAGCTCCTCACCCCTGGGCATCCCATGGAGATGGTGTGTGGCTATGGCAGCAGCACAGCCTCGCTTAAGCTGCTACAGACCTCAGCCTGAAGTTATTTCAGATAGGGCTGAGTAGATTGATGCTAAATTTTGTATTCCTTTATTGTTCTTGAGAGGGAGATTTGCATGAATGGTTCCACTGAAACTGTGAATGACTCTCAGGGGGTCCAGATAACTGCAGGAGCTGTCAGAGCCCAGGACCAAGGGCTTCCAGAGATGCTGGCTGAGCAGACATGGCTATCCAAGCAGAGAGGGAGCTTTTTGCATCTTTGTCCAGCTAGCACTGACACTGTTTCAGCGTGAAATGTGATGAGTCCTTCTGAGCCAAGAGAAACTGC